TTTTCTTAACGGATCGAAATAATTTCGTTATTTAATAATCAAACTCATCTTCGCTCCAATTAATTTCATTACCGTATTCCAAAACTTGCAAAACTCGGAAACTTTGAAAATAACATTTCTATCCCTAACATTCGTCGGACACGGATTAACGATCGAAAATGTAGTTCGATTTGATTTGAGATTAAAAAATCTAACCTAATTCGATAATATATTATTCTACGCAGCGATTATACGTAAAAAGCTTATGAATCTATTCGATATTTTAAAAAAATCAAACGTAAATAAATATCGTGGAATTGCTGCATCAATCCAACTGATGACTGAGAGTTGCGTTAAGGTTAAAACGAGTCCAAAACGATTACGAATGATCAAGCTCAGCTCAAGAAACGCTAGGGCTTTCGATCTCTCAATGGGAACAATGGAATTCGCGTGGACGAACCAGCCACCCTCTCCCTTGGAAAACTGCGCACGCAATAAACCGGATTTCTGCGGTATCCGCGTGATCCATCGACACACTCGCCCTGTCGTATGAAAAGCTGTCCGATGCGCGGCTGTGGAAAACAAAAGGACGGCGGCCAAGCGAAGGACGTGGCAATTGTTCGCACATTGTGCGTTTTATATATATATATATATATATATATATTTCTCGATATATCACCGTTTGTTCGCGTCAATATAGCAGCAGTGAATGTATAAATCCCTAAACGTGGATCTAGAAGAAATCTTAACAAGCGAAATCTCGATGGGAATCGAATTTATTCGATTTCGGTACCGCTATAAATCTCGACTTGGACGACACCTAAGGTAACTTTGCAAACGGTCCTAGAAGGTAATAAATTCCTTCGAAAAACGATCGATTCCATCTACCCTCCACCCCCCTTTTTTTTCTTTTTGGTTTCTTTTCTTTCGATGATCGCGATTTTTCCATTTCCACGAGGAAAGAAAGAAGGAAACACGCGATTAAAAGGAGAGAAGAAAGGGGGAAAAGAGATAGTGCGTTCTACGAAGGGACAGACGAGGAATGGATCGATCGGTGAACGGTACCATCAATTTATTCCGGTTGTTGTAATTCACAAACCTTTTCCGCGATTGGTAATAACTTGCATTAATTAACAAGGATAATCGATCGTCGAAAACATCGATCGAGATTATTATTGGATGCATTAAGAAAATTCGCCGATATTCCGAATGGAGTTTATTAGTTTTTAGTTACGGATAGAGGATGTATGCTTGTGTACGTAAATGTTGAAGGAAATAGTTGGAAATCTATTCGAATTTCGAAAAAGAGTTGCGAAGAAAAATACATATACACGCATTCACAACTGTTGATGTTTAATTAATTATCGACTTGACATGATTTATTTAATCGGACGAGAAAATTCTGTGTCGGGGAATTATTAATCGGGGATTAACTTGTGTATCGTTAATCGATGCGCCGGTTTCGCGAATTGTTACGCGGGGCAAAGAAGATAATAAGCGCGGTTCTACGGCTCGAGGGTCGTCGGTGATTAATTTTTTAAACTACGTAATAGCGGTTGCTTCCCGAGAGTCGAAACTCTCCGCTGCAAAGCGTCCAACGACTCGCCGCCCAGTATCGGAAAAAAATTCAACGCATTGCGCGCATCGAACGACGAGAAATTCTGTCTTTTTTTTTCCTTCGGCAAAATATTATTAAACATTTTGAATAAGGACAAATAATAACTATTGGCATCGCGATTAAGGACTCGATACACATATCGAAACCGGTATGGTATTCCCTCACGAATCGGAAAACTCGGTGGAAGAAAAAGCGAGATATCGTCGAAAAATGGTAAATTCAGTTTCCTCCATATTTTCGCCATCTTATTTCCGCGCACGGCGATCACCTTTGCAACAACACTGGTTCGAGCTAACGTTGGAAAAACAGAAAACATTCCGACAATATCAACATACCACGAGGCTGTTACACAGACAACACAGCCTCGAAAATTCGTCGAGGAAAATCGATTCCTATCCGTTGCGTGTATCCATCCATCGATCATACTAGCTGGAGACGAAAAACTGACCGATCGAATACGAGAAACGTGATTCCACAGCGTGGAAATCGGAGTATTCTTGATTAGTGGACTAGCTTGGTCCGTGCTTTCGCGAACGACGAGACGAAACGATAAGGATAAACGGTAGGACGGGGATGACGAACACGGTTTGATTAATGCCATTTTCTTATTGGCAAACACGGTGGGAAAAGCTATTTCGAATGTTTTCGCATAACGTTTTCGAGGCATTGTTCCACCGTTATCGTCAGATCAGAGAATCATTTCATAGCACGGGTATAACGTAAATATTAAAGCGAAAGCACGGGTCGTAAAGTCGGTCGTAAGCTGCAATATAGATCGAACAAGATGTATCGTTTGAATCGGAAGGATAAATGCGATTTTTTTTTTGAGAGGGATTATCTTTTATAATGTTTTCTTTTGTTTTTTAAATCAAACGTAATTGCGACTATCGATTATCGATATTAGTTTTTTTTTTTTTTTTTTTATTTATCATTGATACAGCTTTTCATACGTCGATTGTAACATCGTTTGTCGGAATAAAAGCGACTCTTTTATTTTTTTTTTTTCTTTTTATTCGAAGTTATCGTAGAATAATTTCTTGAAGTAAAAATAAATGGACTTTATTGGAGAAATATTGCGATATCCACTTCTGTTATTATCTTTATTCAACACGGTACCTTAAACCAAATTTTTGAATACGAAAAAATTTATTACCTCGCTTATTTTCACCATCATCGATAATCACGATTCTGTTCCGTAAGCAATAACGTTCTTTGCTCGATATGGATATTCTCACGAAACATTCTCGAGCGAACATTTTTTTATGGACAATTCATTTTGCATTGAAATTTGGCGCTCACCTCAACGTTTCTCCTCCTCTGTTGCATCGAATCTTCCCTTTTCTCGTCTTTCTCTCGAGAGAGAAAGAAAAAATTCCTCGGCGAATTTCTCGCGTTTCCAGGAAGCGAAGAAGAAAATTCGAAAATGGGCAAATTTTATTCCCTCGAATCGATTCCCTGGAAACACGTACACGTACAACACCTGTCTCCTCCACAAAGAATATTTATTACTGCAAATTCTTCCGCGATCAATCGGGCAAAATTCTCCACCAGCGGGAAAGAAACTTCTCGTCGAGAAACGTTCTATTCGAGGTTGGCTAGCAGAGTAGAAAAGGCGTAGGATCGATTCTTTCCTCGGAAGAAGAAGATTCCTCTCTCGAGGAGACACCGTGGAAAACGGCCAAAAGGAATTTCGCACAAACTCGGACTCCGAAATTCCTTTTCGGCGGCCTTCCCTCGATGAACTTCGCTTCGAATAAACTTCGGTTTGTATACACCTTGGCTCGAGCTCACCAAGGGATGCGTTTTCTTTGGAGAGAGAGAGAGAGAGAGAGAGA